AGGGCTCGCACACTACACCTGGGGTCCTGGAGGGCTCGCACACTGCACCTGGGGTCCTGGAGGGCCCGCACGCTACACCTGGGGTCCTGGAGGGCTCGCACACTACACCTGGGGGTCCTGGAGGGCTCGCACACTACACCTGGGGTCCTGGAGGGCCCGCACACTACACCTGGGGTCCTGGAGGGCTCGCACACTACACCTGGGGTCCTGGAGGGCTCGCACACTACACCTGGGGTCCCTGAGGGCCCGCACACTACAGCTGGGGTCCTGGAGGGCCCGCACACTACACCTGGGGTCCCTAAGGGCCCGCACACTACACCTGGGGTCCTGGAGGGCCCGCACACTACACCTGGGGTCCTGGAGGGCCCGCACACTACACCTGGGGGTTCTGGAGGGCCCGCACACTACACCTGGGATCCCTAAGGGCCCGCACACTACACCTGGGGTCCTGGAGGGCCCGCACACTACACCTGGGGGTCCTGGAGGGCCCGCACACTACACCTGGGGGTCCTGGAGGGCCCGCACACTACACCTGGGGGTCCTGGAGGGCCCGCACACTACACCTAGGGGTCCTGGAGGGCCCGCACACTACACCTGGGGTCCCTAAGGGCCCGCACACTACACCTGGGGTCCTGGAGGGCCCGCACACTACACCTGGGGTCCTGGAGGGCCCGCACACTACACCTGGGGGTTCTGGAGGGCCCGCACACTACACCTGGGATCCCTAAGGGCCCGCACACTACACCTGGGGTCCTGGAGGGCCCGCACACTACACCTGGGGGTCCTGGAGGGCCCGCACACTACACCTGGGGGTCCTGGAGGGCCCGCACACTACACCTGGGGGTCCTGGAGGGCCCGCACACTACACCTAGGGGTCCTGGAGGGCCCGCACACTACACCTGGGGGTCCTGGAGGGCCCGCACACTACACCTGGGGGTCCTGGAGGGCCCGCACACTACACCTGGGGTCCTGGAGGGCCCGCACGCTACACCTGGGGTCCCTAAGGGCCCGCACGCTACACCTGGGGTCCTGGAGGGCCCGCACACTACACCTGGGGTCCTGGAGGGCCCGCACACTACACCTGGGGGTCCTGGAGGGCCCGCACACTACACCTGGGGGTCCTGGAGGGCCCGCACACTACACCTGGGGGTCCTGGAGGGCCCGCACACTGCACCTGGGGTCCTGGAGGGCCCGCACACTACACCTGGGGGTCCTGGAGGGCCCGCACACTACACCTGGGGGTCCTGGAGGGCCCGCACGCTACACCTGGGGTCCTGGAGGGCCCGCACACTACACCTGGGGGTCCTGGAGGGCCCGCACACTACACCTGGGGGTCCTGGAGGGCCCGCACACTACACCTGGGGGTCCTGGAGGGCCCGCACACTACACCTGGGGGTCCTGGAGGGCCCGCACACTACACCTGGGGGTCCTGGAGGGCCCGCACGCTACACCTGGGGTCCTGGAGGGCCCGCACACTACACCTGGGGGTCCTGGAGGGCCCGCACACTACACCTGGGGGTCCTGGAGGGCCCGCACGCTACACCTGGGGGTCCTGGAGGGCCCTGGAGGACCTGGAAGGCGCCAAACAGCTGTGTCAGCCGCCTGACTGTCACTCCCGCCTCCAACACCTAATCTTTTATTATTTTTTTTCCAAGTTAGGAAGGAGGAAGATTGGTATTAAGTTGCGAGTGGGGGAGAGAGGGAGGGGTGTGGGGGAGAGAGGGAGGGGTGTGGGGGAGGAGGGAGGGGTGTGTGGGGAGAGAGGGAGGGGTGTGGGGGAGAGAGGGAGGGGTGTGGGGAAGAGAGGGAGGGGTGTGGGGGAGAGAGGGAGGGGTGTGGGGGAGAGAGGGAGGGGTGTGGGGGAGAGAGGGAGGGGTGTGGGGGAGAGAGGGAGGGGTGTGGGGGAGAGAGGGAGGGGTGTGGGGGAGAGAGGGAGGGGTGTGGGGGAGATAGGGAAGGGTGTGGGGGAGAGGGAGAGAGGGAGGGGCAGGGCACCACCTCCCCCCAACAGTTCACGCCTCCACAACACTCCGCCACTTTAGAGCTCCGCGCGCTCTCATTTTTAATTCATTTGCCTTTGCGGCTGACTGCCAGTGGTGAAGCTGCCAGTGGTGAAGCTGCCAGTGGTGAAGCTGTCAGTGGTGAAGCTGCCAGTGGTGAAGCTGCCAGTGGTGAAGCTGCCAGTGGTGAAGCTGCCAGTGGTGAAGCTGTCAGTGGTGAAGCTGCCAGTGGTGAAGCTGCCAGTGGTGAAGCTGTCAGTGGTGAAGCTGCCAGTGGTGAAGCTGCCAGTGGTGAAGCTGCCAGTGGTGAAGCTGCCAGTGGCGAAGCTGCCAGTGGTGAAGCTGCCAGTGGTGAAGCTGCCAGTGGTGAAGCTGTCAGTGGTGGTGGAGGGTCATGAAGCTGTCAGTGGTGAAGCTGCCAGTGGTGAAGCTGCCAGTGGTGAAGCTGCCAGTGGTGAAGCTGCCAGTGGTGAAGCTGTCAGTGGTGGTGGAGGGTCATGAAGCTGTCAGTGGTGGTGGAGGGTCATGAAGCTGTCAGTGGTGGTGGAGGGTCATGAAGCTGTCAGTGGTGGTGGAGGGTCATGAAGCTGTCAGTGGTGAAGCTACCAGTGGTGAAGCTGTCAGTGGTGGTGGAGGGTCATGAAGCTGTCAGTGGTGGTGGTGGGTCATGAAGCTGTCAGTGGTGGTGGAGGGTCATGAAGCTGTCAGTGGTGAAGCTGCCAGTGGTGAAGCTGCCAGTGGTGAAGCTGCCAGTGGTGAAGCTGCCAGTGGTGAAGCTGCCAGTGGTGAAGCTGTCAGTGGTGGTGGAGGGTCATGAAGCTGTCAGTGGTGGTGGAGGGTCATGAAGCTCAGTGGTGGTGGAGGGTCATGAAGCTGTCAGTGGTGGTGGAGGGTCATGAAGCTCAGTGGTGGTGGAGGGTCATGAAGCTGTCAGTGGTGGTGGAGGGTCATGAAGCTGTCAGCGGGAGGTGTACCAGGGAGAACCAGTAGAGTAAGACTCACTAACAACCAGTAGAGTAAGACTCACTAACAACCAGTAGAGTAAGGCTCACTAACAACCAGTAGAGTAAGACTCACTAACAACCAGTAGAGTAAGACTCACTAACAACCAGTAGAGTAAGACTCACTAACAACCAGTAGAGTAAGACTCACTAACAACCAGTAGAGTAAGGCTCACTAACAACCAGTAGAGTAAGACTCACTAACAACCAGTAGAGTAAGACTCACTAACAACCAGTAGAGTAAGACTCACTAACAACCAGTAGAGTAAGACTCACTAACAACCAGTAGAGTAAGGCTCACTAACAACCAGTAGAGTAAGGCTCACTAACAACCAGTAGAGTAAGACTCACTAACAACCAGTAGAGTAAGACTCACTAACAACCAGTAGAGTAAGACTCACTAACAACCAGTAGAGTAAGACTCACTAACAACCAGTAGAGTAAGACTCACTAACAACCAGTAGAGTAAGACTCACTAACAACCAGTAGAGTAAGACTCACTAACAACCAGTAGAGTAAGACTCACTAACAACCAGTAGAGTAAGACTCACTAACAACCAGTAGAGTAAGACTCACTAACAACCAGTAGAGTAAGACTCACTAACAACCAGTAGAGTAAGGCTCACTAACAACCAGTAGAGTAAGACTCACTAACAACCAGTAGAGTAAGACTCACTAACAACTAAGGGAAGGGAAGGCTCTCAGCCAACAGCCACAAGCTGTCAGCTTCTCAGTGACAAACATAAATGATAAAGGCTCCTGACGTCTACACCAAACGTTTATAACTTTATGCTTAAAGTGTTCCAGAGAACTGTTAGGTTCACCTTTTGTTATGTGGCGCCCCTTGTGTGTGGCCACCCACCACACACAGTGTGGCCACCCACCACACACACAGTGTGGCCACCCACCACACACACAGTGTGGCCACCCACCCCACACACAGTGTGGCCACCCACCCCACACACAGTGTGGCCACCCACCCCACACACAGTGTGGCCACCCACCACACACACAGTGTGGCCACCCACCACACACACAGTGTGGCCACCCACCACACACACAGTGTGGCCACCCACCACACACACAGTGTGGCCACCCACCACACACACAGTGTGGCCACCCACCACACACACAGTGTGGCCACCCACCACACACAGTGTGGCCACCCACCACACACACACTGTGGCCATCTACTCAGTTAATCATGTCCTCTTAAATATTTCACAGGCAAACAAGAGGTTCCAATATGATTCCTCGCCATATTCCCTGATATTTGCCCTCGCCAATTTCGACATGATAAACTACCCGACTGTCAGCTCTATCCGGCCGATCTTTACTCACCGTCTCCACAGATGACTTACCATTTGGTGACTCAAGTTTATTTCAAATTTCATCTATGCATATTGCGGTCTTTGAAAGGATTCGCTAATATTCGTTCTGTAAGGATTGGTTTCTCGTAAATTATTGGGACGTTTTTATGGGTGTGTGATGATGCTGAGAGTGTTAGGCAGGTGTGGCAGGCAGGTGTGGCAGGCAGGTGTGGCGGGCAGGTGTGGCGGGCAGGTGTGGCGGGCAGGTGTGGCGGGCAGGTGTGGCGGGCAGGTGTGGCGGGCAGGTGTGGCAGGCAGGTGTGGCGGGTAGGTGTGGCAGGCAGGTGTGGCAGGCAGGTGTGGCAGGCAGGTGTGGCAGGCAGGTGTGGCGGGCAGGTGTGGCGGGCAGGTGTGGCGGCCAGGTGTGGCGGGCAGGTGTGGCAGGCAGGTGTGGCAGGCAGGTGTGGCGGGCGGGTGTGGCGGGCAGGTGTGGCGGGCAGGTGTGGCGGGCAGGTGTGGCGGGCGGGTGTGGCGGGCGGGTGTGGCGGGCGGGTGTGGCGGGCAGGTGTGGCGGGCAGGTGTGGCAGGCGGGTGTGGCAGGCGGGTGTGGCGGGCAGGTGTGGCAGGCGGGTGTGGCGGGCAGGTGCGGCAGGCAGGTGCGGCAGGCAGGTGCGGCAGGCAGGTGCGGCAGGCAGGTGTGGCAGGCAGGTGTGGCAGGCAGGTGTGGCAGGCAGGTGTGGCAGGCAGGTGTGGCGGGCAGGTGTGGCGGGCAGGTGTGGCAGGCGGGTGTGGCAGGCAGGTGTGGCAGGCGGGTGTGGCAGGCGGGTGTGGCGGGCAGGTGTGGCGGGCAGGTGCGGCGGGCAGGTGTGGCAGGCAGGTGTGGCAGGCAGGTGCGGCAGGCAGGTGTGGCAGGCAGGTGTGGCAGGCAGGTGTGGCAGGCAGGTGTGGCAGGCAGGTGTGGCGGCAGTCAGTCAGCGCAGCTTCAAGTCTTGTGTCAGGCAGTCATTGAGTGCGAGGCACAAGACTGATGGTGGTCACAGCTCTCCCTGGCCAGGGCTCGAACCCAAACAAAACATGGCTGAGGGAGTTCTTAAAGACCGCCGAGGGCGTGAGGGCGTGAGACCACCTTCCTCTCCACCACTTGTTATATTAACTACAAATAACAAGAAAATGTTAACACCATGAGCATACAAGTAGAAAATTATTTGATACTGATAATAAAATTGATAATAAATATAATTGATAATAAAATGATAAAACTTGATAATAAATGCCACGAGTTTTTTATTATCAAGTGAAGGACATTTTAATATTAGGGGAATATATGTAAATAATATATATATATATATATATATATATATATATATATATATATATATATATATATATATATATATATATATATATATATATATATATTATTAAATATGACCGAAAAAGTAAGATTAATAATTCTAACACGAATTTTCTCAATCTTTCGTACATTACGCTTCACTGTTGGAGGTAAATCAAAAATCACTTCTCCAAAATTCATTTTTATTTCTAGTCTGACGCGACACGGGCGCGTTTCGTAAAACTTATTACATTTTCAAAGACTTCACAAATACACAACTGATTAGAACTTACGTATCTCTGATTTTATATCTACATTTGAGTGAGGTGGGAGGGGTGATGTGGCATTAACACAAGACAGAACAAGAGGGGATATTAATAGGGTATTAAAAGTATCAACACAAGACAGAACAGAAACAATGGGTATTGAATAGAAGTGTTTGTAGAAAGCCTATTGGTCCATATTTCTTGATGCTTCTATATTGGAGCGGAGTCTTGAGGTGGGTAGAATATAGTTGTGCAATAATTGGCTGTTGATTGCTGGTGTTGACTTCTTGATGTGTAGTGCCTCGCAAACGTCAAGCCGCCTGCTATCGCTGTATCTATCGATGATTTCTGTGTTGTTTACTAGGATTTCTCTGGTAAACAACACAGAAATCATCGATAGATACAGCGATAGCAGGCGGCTTGACGTTTGCGAGGCACTACACATCAAGAAGTCAACACCAGCAATCAACAGCCAATTATTGCACAACTATATTCTACCCACCTCAAGACTCCGCTCCAATATAGAAGCATCAAGAAATATGGACCAATAGGCTTTCTACAAACACTTCTATTCAATACCCATTGTTTCTGTTCTGTCTTGTGTTGATACTTTTAATACCCTATTAATATCCCCTCTTGTTCTGTCTTGTGTTAATGCCACATCACCCCTCCCACCTCACTCAAATGTAGATATAAAATCAGAGATACGTAAGTTCTAATCAGTTGTGTATTTGTGAAGTCTTTGAAAATGTAATAAGTTTTACGAAACGCGCCCGTGTCGCGTCAGACTAGAAATAAAAATGAATTTTGGAGAAGTGATTTTTGATTTACCTCCAACAGTGAAGCGTAATGTACGAAAGATTGAGAAAATTCGTGTTAGAATTATTAATCTTACTTTTTCGGTCATATTTAATAATATATGTCTACAGGAAAGACTGCTACCAATATATATATATATATATATATGTCGTACCTAGTAGCCAGAACGCACTTCTCAGCCTACTATTCAAAGCCCAATTTGCCTAATAAGCCAAGTTTTCATGAATTAATTGTTTTTCGACTACCTAACCTACCTAACCTAACCTAACCTAACGTTTTCGGCTACCTAACTTAACCTAACCTATAAAGATAGGTTAGGTTAGGTTAGGTAGGGTTGGTTAGGTTCGGTCATATAACTACGTTAATTTTAACTACAATAAAAAAATTGACCTCATACATAAATGAAATGGGGTAGCTTTATCATTTCATAAGAAAAAAATTAGAGAAAATATATTAATTCGTGAAAACTTGGCTTATTAGGCAAATCGGGCCTTGCATAGTAGGCGGAGAAGTGCGTTCTGGCTACTAGGTACGACATATATATATATATATATATATATATATATATATATATATATATATATATATATATATATATATATATATATATATATATATATATATATATATATACTTTATGTATTT